AAAAAAAAAAAAAAAAAAAAAAAAAAAAAAAAAAAAAAAAAAAAAAAAAAAAAAAAAAGACAAATTACCGTATTTTACATAAAGAAAAGGTTAATATGCAAACGTGTGGATAATTACTAAAAAGTTATAAGAGCTACAAAAAAATATCGGAAATTCGGCTGCGTCGTAATTTTTTACATTTATGCGTGGCTACATAAAGTTGCAGTACAAAGAAACCTATTTGTAGGCATGATGTGTGTAAGAGTGAAATGCAGTTGACAAATGTTCCTGATTAATACGACCTTACCAATACCGTTTAAAGACGAGCAACTGCTGAAAAATAAATTTTTGCAGAATAAACATATACTTATTATGTAACCGTGATAACGATGTAAACATTCTCGAAAGGAAGATGTACGTCCTTGATGAAATTTTTTTTTTTTTCACTCATATGATAATTTTGCACTTTTTCATGCGCAGAAAATGACTTTATGCAACAAAACGAACCATCCTTCATGGAAACGATTACAAGCGAGGACGACCCGGAAACACACGAAAGGTATATGATTTGTCTCGAGACCATAATTATACGTATGAATAAAAAAAAAATCACCATTAAATTACGAAATAATGAAAAAAAAAAGTCACGCTTCGAGCATGCGATGAAAAGTAAAGTAAAACCTGCATTTGGTTTCAGCAGCCAAACGAAAATAATAAAAACGACAACGACAACGACGGCAACGACTTTGGAGGCTGACACCAGCGGAGCCGACGATTCGATGCAGACAATGGTCGACCAATTCATGACGGAGGAGCGGAAGGATCGCTAAGTTAGACCGAGTAAATGAAAAGTGCGTGCAAACCCGGAACTTTGGACGACCGACAGGCAGCTATACAATGACATGCGGAAGCTCGAGATCCCGAGGCGCTCACTGATGGGAGCACACCCTGGACTCGGGAGTCTGCCGGAAATAGCCCGCGCGTCGGTGTCCCTTCATCATAATTTATTTATTTATTTATTTATTTACTCGCTAGTGTACGCTCCTTCCGTAAATTCAAAGCTTGCAAATATACATTATACGTAGCCTTACTAAGGTATAACTGTGCGTGTTTCCAGCAACAATTTTACTACCCGATGAAAAATAACATCTTTGGTCAGTCTTGGTTGGTCGTTGTTTTGATCTTAACAAATATATATATATATTTTTTTTTTCTTTTTGCTAGTACGCTCAGCTGAAAAGAGAAATGTAATCCAATCGAACGAGACTAGCAAACATAAATGGGAGCCAGAGTTTTATCGATCCAGTAGATAGAAAAAAATTAATTTGATCGACCAATATAATGAAACGGCTAGTTTCGATGTAACATAAGAGTAAGAAGGGAAAGTGTGGATATTCCCCGTGTGCCCGTAATAAAATTGTCGCCCGAAACGTTTCGCTACCACTCGCGCCGCATAAAATCAAACATAACTTTTCGTGCCAGCTCGAGGCTCTCCTGTCACGAGCGCGCTCACTGGTACGATAATCGCTTATTGACCGCTTTTATTGCTGATCTTTGCGCAAAGAGCTTCATCTCTCACGTTAACATGTATATTTAATATAGAGCACTCGCGTGCAAGTGTACCTTTTGTGTGGGTCTTCTGTATATGCAATTCGAGAGAGAATTTCCTTTTTTTTTTTTTGTTTGAATAATTGAATAACAGTTGAGCGCTGTGAGCCTTGCGGCGGGCGTTAACTCAAGTCGGCGGTTGCGTCGAATAAGTATATGTGAGGTGTATACTTACTTGCTATATAAGTTCAAATATTATCCGACGATGAGCAATTGATGGGCTAAATAGTGCCTAATATACATAATACAAGCGCGCACACGTATTGAGCATTTGAATGGAGGACAGCGAATCAACAAAAGTGTGCATGCGAGCCTATACTCATCAAAGCTACTCCTGTACTCTCTAATTCTCAATCCTTTATATAATATATACATATACATACATTTATATCACAGCCCCTGTCGTATAAAATTTAATACTTTAGTAGCTTCTGAAAAATAGTATTTGTTGATGTGTTTGTATTTATAATATCTAGTTCATTCCTAAAGTTATAAATTTAAATAAATAAACATTAGTGTTTTGAAGATGTAAAAGTGTAAATACTAGTACCGTCTTTTATGCTTAATCGTCGTTCCTTCTTTGAATCTAATAGCTTAGAGGGAGCAGATCACAGGCGTAATATATACACAAGTAAAAAAAGGTAGTTTCNTATATATGAATTTAAATGCATCCGTTTTATAAATATACAAATACATATACACATGTAGATACATGAATATTATATGTAAGAAAAGCTTTAGCTTTCGGTGAGCAGCACGAGAAAAATTATAATGACACCGATTACGGTGTGAAAATAAAAAATAAAATTTTACGCTTTTTCGCAGACACCTGGTTATTAGTGATACTTATTTACCATGTGAATTTCATCACCAGAGATTGGTTGTATCAATTGATACCGCATAATGTGATCATTTATTATTTATTTATTATCGCACGGTATAACGGCTAACCTTGAACAGTTCCAGTCGAAGCCAGAATACTTACTCGCTGAAAAAGGCATCATCAGGTATATACATTCGTCCTTCCGGATAAATGAAGCTTGGAGATGAACTTTTGTGCCTGAAATTAATTGGCACGTCAATGATGTTCTTCCCAAATCATGTTGATCGCATACCAAAGAGGAAAAAACTTACCAACCGTGGCTGACTGATGATGTCTCGGAAACTTCTCTTGTTTCGGTTGCTCGTATGCCTATGAACGATTTTTAAACTTGAACATGTTTACCTTTGCTATCGATAAAAACGGGGGACTTTTTTTATCTAAGTACTAAAACTTTAGGTGCATTAGGAGACTTGGGTTGACATGGGAATAAATTAAAAATTCGCTTCCCGAAGACCGCAATGCCAAAAAAGCTACATCGACAAAAAAACAAAAACAAACCGTTTCCACCGGAAATAACCCTGTAGCTATGCACCCCTGCACGGCAAGAAGGAGGCGATGCTGGATAACACGATTACATAGCCTGTTATGGGCTGCAAACTTTGTGTTAATTGTTTTTTATAGTTTTAATGCATTATTGATACTTAAAGTATCGATTTTCAGGGTCAAGAATTTGTTTCAAATAGATAACAACTATTATTTTACAGTTAAAAAAAAAAATAAATAAATAATGTAACAAAAAATTGTTTTCTGTTTAATACAAATTCTTAACACTGAAAATCAATACTTTAAGTATGAAAAATGCATTAAAACTACAAAAAACAATTAACACAAAGTTTGCAGCCCATAACAGGCTATGTAATCGTGTTATCCAGCAGCGCCTCCTTCTTGCCGTGCAGTGGTGCAGGTGGCGCTGTTTCAGATTACTGCACACGAATACTAATGATGGTGGGCAATTGCATGGGACTGCTGTCATTGCCTTTGGGAAACAACTGTACGAGTGGAGACTTTTCGCGCAATTGAAAAATTAAACAAAAAGCTTAAATTTTCTAATTGGAACCATGAGAAATAAAAATTATAACAATAATTATAATGATGAAACACCGACTTACTTCATCCCCATACCAGTCTTTTTGGACGTATACCTGCAGTTCAAGTTTTCAAGAGCCTTCTTTAAATAAACACAAGGAAAGAACATTTAATTCCGGCGCTTACGGGAAACTTTTAAGTAGTTGAAAAGGGAAATCTCGATTTCAGAAGACTGGGTGCAAAGTTAGCATTTTTTTTTAATTAATTAATATTGCAGCAAAAGCTTGCGGAACGTGACGAAAAATCGGCTCGACCCTCTGAGCAACCCAATCAAGGGTCACACGTGAGGATATCAGTGTTGCTTGTAGCCAAGCGACTGGAAGATTTGGCAAAACATATAAGGTGTTTGATCTAATGTTTAATATTGTTTTTCAAACGATACAAAGTTTACATTATTATCCTTTAACCAGTTCGTTACTAAAGCGATAATCGTTCAATAGTTGTGCGCTAGTGAACATATACGCACCGGCAGAAAGAGCCACAGGGTCCATTGTCTCAACTTAGTGAGGAGGAATTAAACAATGATCAAGTGTTTTTATTAATACAATTTAACAATAACTCCATGTGAAAAAATTTGTGTGAGAAATTAAAAAAAATATTTTTTCGGCATATTGCAACTATTGTTTTTATTAATACAATTTTCATTTATTTCTACTAAATACCGTATCTCTTCCTTTTGATGCGAGTTACCGGTATTCTACACATGTAATAGGTCGTTCNAAAAGGATAAAACATTCAGTCACTTATTAAAAATAGTCCTGGTAAAAAATTTTTAACTAGCTTGAAACAATCATTCACATGCGGACGCTTTCGCACACCAGCAATCCAAACACAAGAAGTTTCCGAGACATCATTAGTCAGCCGCGGCCGAAAATCATTCACGTGTTAATTACTTTCAGGTGCAAAAATTCATCTTCATACTTGATTCATCCGAATAGGTGTAATGCCATATTCTGCAAGTATTCTGGCTCCAGATGGAATGCGCACAGCAAGAATCACGCAAGGTTAGCCCCAATGGGCGATAACATTACTTATATTGAGATGATTGAGATTTTGTAAAATTAAAAAAATAAACATAATTTTATCATAGAAATTTTATTATTGAAAGATTTATAATAAAAAAAATGATATAGTAACTCTTAATATTTATAAATATTTACAATGGTAGCGAAAAATTTCAGTTGATAACAATTGGTAATGCAACTGTTAAAAGATGAAAAAAAATCTGTCTGAAGTAATATTATGATGCAAGTGCAATAAAAACGGTGCAGTAAACAGATGATTTTGACACTGGGTAGTACAATAATCAATGTTAATAATTTATTTCTTTTTTTATCTATGCGTTTGAAACTCGAAGATTTATTTTAACTTAAAATCATTTCAAGGCAAAAGTCATAAAAAAACATTGAATATTTAAATATTTCCTGGGAGTAAGATTGCAATGGCCCTAGGTGCAAATTCTATTACTGCTTGTGTAGAGCATCAGATCTTAAACAAAAATTATTCAAACATTAATAATGGCAAAGATGCAGTTTTATCAACAACTTTTAATTATACTCACGTTATCTACATCGTCTTCATCGTCTTCACTAACTTCATCTCCGAATTCAATATCGTCATCGAGACCATCCTCCACGAACGTAACTGTGTCATTGATACGAACTAAAGCAGAAGAATATTTAAAATGAAAATTCAAAGAAATATGTTATTCTGAATGGAAACAGTATTGTAGAAGATTTACCTGTTTCTGGAAATTCACCATAGGTTTTCAAATTCCTAGCTTCATCGGGTGTATATTTCAGAATAACATCAGCTTTAGCATCTTGATAGTCACGGAGACCAATTAGGATAATGTCACCTTGATTAATCCATACTTTTTTACGTAGTTTCCCACGAATATGGCATAATCTTTTTACACCATCAAAGCACATCGCTTCGAGACGTCCATTGCCAAGCATTTTGGTCACTTGTGCATATTCTTAATGGAACAGAAAAAATGAGTAAGTATTAAAAATGACAACAGTATGTAATACAAATGATGTTCAATACTGGATAGTTCTTAGAAAGTCACAAGCAAAACAATACCAAATTACCTTGGCCATCTTCTTTGAAGACCAGCTCTCTTTTTTCCGTCTCGTTCTCGTTTTTTCCTCTTCTCCTGTTTTTACCTCCCTTTCCTGAATAAGAAAAAACATATTAAAAGACGTATTGATTATGCCAATGAAACAAGATTGAAGAAAACAATGTACATGTTTATGTGGGCAATATGGACATAAAAATATTATAAAACACAATACACTAAGCCAAGTGAACATTTGATTGGCGAAAAATAAATGTAGATGAAAACCTGCCAAACAAAATGTGCAGGAATATTTATTAATCTGTATGGGTGGTTGTAGGTTATGTCGATGAATTATTAATGAGACGAGCCAAGGACACTGAGAAGAAAGCGCAGCTTTTTGCAGCAGTTTTCATGATTTAGTTATCGAGGTTGATTGTACGTAATCCTACGTAAAGCTTAAAATTACTTACCCTTGTTTTTGGGCATGTTTTGTTGTCCGCTGTGTCTATTCGCACCAAATCCACGTAATTACGTGAATATAAGGTTAGGAATTTTAAAGAAAAACGCTACTTTTTCAAATGAAGTATGTCCACGTAAAGTAAAGTTCGCACCAGTGCTCTCGCCTGGGCGTCTACTGAAGCGGGAGGGAAACGAAACCAGAGATTAGTTGGGGTGCAAGTTCAGTGCTGCCCCCCTATTGCATTGGATCCCCCTTGCTAATTCTTGTAGAAGAAAATTAGTTTTAGCGGTGGCCACCGTCAATACCTATTACGGTGAATTCCACGCGCGTTCAAGTGGCGCTGTTGTCAACTTTCACAATATAATCACGATACATAGTAGGTATGTATTATACATAGCATACATTATATGCTTGCAGTGCAGGCGTTCCACAAAAACGCTGTCAGCACTCAGCACACTCTCTCAGCTCAGCAGTCATACCGACAGAGACAGAGATTCTATCTCTTATAGGTATCTGCGATCACGGGACGGAACTAGACTAGACTATAGTATCGACACCATATATAATTATATGTAGCTTTAAGCTTGAAAGATTACATCTTTTTGTTAAAGAATAAGAAGTTTTGTTCAACACATAAGTATACCTATATTGCATTGCCCTATCAAATACTCAATCTGGTTGTGTCAAATTTATGTGCCTGCATATCTATACCTGTATAATATATCTCTGCTCAATCTGTTGACAAGGTGATAGAGTAAATATCACTACTGCTGGTTACTGTTGTGTGTTGTGTCCTATATTGAAAATTAAACGTAACAAAGTAACCATAAAAATGAAATAATTGCAGTCAGTAAAAATTTCGAGTTAATTCGTCAAGTCCGCCACATTTTTTCATAAACTATTTATCACAGTTTGCGCCGCCTTGACAAAAAAAAGAGCAATTTAAAAATTCAATGTTGTATTGACTCGATGACGAATAAGATGACAAATAAGGAAATAGCAATGATATTCCCAAGAATGGTATAATTTTAATTCAAGCAACAAGAAAATGTAGTGATGCAAATGTGTATTTCAAGTCTCGATGGCTTTTCTTATGCCCTCCATTCAAGATTAAATTGCAATCTGACCAACGATGTCAGTTTACCCATTAGAGATTACTTCTTGACATACACATATACAGCCTTATGTGATTCACATGTATTAAAGGTAAGAAAATCATAATGATATTTGAAGGATTATTTCCTTTGACTTTAAAATTGTTTCAAACAAACGATGTTCCGCAGTAAGTATCTGCATGATGGTTGAATTTCTTGTGCAAATACTTTTTTAAAAACTAAAGTATTACTTTGTTATTTATTTACAACTAAATGTATTAAAAGTTTGTCACATCTCTTATTATACATTTCTTAGTTGTCATAATTACTACTTCAAGTCAATGTTAAAAATTTTTAAAAAATTTTTCAATTTGGAACTTAAGGGCTGATTCCTACAGTATACTTCTAATACTAAATTTTGAAAGATATCTCTGTTTTAAAAAATTAATTTTTTTGGTGATTTTGATACTATTATTTATATGAATGCAAATCTTATTACTAGTCATCTAATATGTGTTAAATAATGTACAATTGTAGTAATTAAACATTTTTAGTAATTAAGCAAATTGTATTGGATAATTAATCTACTATTCTTCTGGTAGCTAACGTTTGAATGAACTATTTTGACCATCAAAATTTTTCAGGGGAATAGAAAAATATATTTTTTCTAAATTACCAATATGGATGAGTACATAGAGTGTGATGGTTTTCAATTCTATAATAATTTTGATTCTGCTAATCTCGCAAAAGTTGAAAGAGCTGATCAAAATACAGATAAAAAAAAGAATGATGGTAATTATCATATAGTATTAATAAGAATTATGAATCTTTTTTTTATCTATCAAGTTGTGTATAAATTGTTAGGTAAGAGCGAAAATAATAAAAATCCAAAAGTTTCATCGTCAAACACACCTCCTCCAAATCACGAATTCAACATATGGACAAAATATGATTGTCAAGGAACAGAATTTCAAAACAGTACTAAAACTTGGTTTTACTTTGGCGTCAAAGCACCAAAATCAGGCTCACTTGTTAAATTTAATTTAGTTAATCTAAATAAGCAAGTGAAAATGTTTAGCCAAGGAATGTCTCCTGTTTTCAAAGTTATTCCAGGACACAACCACTGGGAGAGGATAAAGGACAAGCCAACATTTATAGTATTTACTTAAATTTTACTTCTTTGATATTATTTTAATTTGAAAAAACAGATTTGATTGCGTAAAATGTCTGATTTTATAGGCAGATGATCAAAACAACCAGTTCATTTTGTCATTCAGTTATTGTACCCCAGAAAATATAAATGCAATTACTTATTTTGCATTCACGTATCCATTTTCCTATACCGATTTACAAAATCATTTGAAAAAAATTGACGTAAAAGTAGAAAATCTCAAACAATGTGCGAATCCTACTGGCGACGATATTTATTATCACAGAGAATGTGCCATTAGGTCGTTGGAAGGCCGAAGACTCGATATACTGACAATAAGCTCGTACCATCACATTTTACCGGATAGAGAAGCTAGAATAAAAAATTTATTTCCCGAAAAAAACGAAGAACGGCCTTTCAAATTCAAAGACAAAAAAGTAATGTTTGTTATAAAAAAAATAATTTTTATTTTTCCCTCGTTAAATTCTTTGTTACGAAATCGACATTTTCAGATAATTTTTGTAAGTGCTCGAGTTCACCCTGGGGAAACGCCCTCGAGTTTCGTTTTGAATGGCCTGTTGAATTTGTTATTGAACCGCGAGGACCAGACCGCAATTATTCTTCGTCAACTTTACGTTTTCAAGTTGATACCTATGCTTAATCCCGATGGCGTGGCACAGGGTTACTACCGCATGGACACAAGAGGTGTTAATCTCAACCGACTTTATCTCAACCCATCCATGGAAAATCACCCAACGATATACGCAGCCAAAGCTCTGCTGAGGTTTTTGGCGAAAATACTACTTTTTTTTACTGGCACGTGAAATTTTATATCAATTTTTTTAATGATTGTTTATTTGCATTTTAGATACTATCACAGATTATACATGTTGGCAGAAAACTACATTTCTGATGCAACAGAGAAGGTTGAGGTCAAAATTGATGCCACAAACAGCACGTCGACGTGTAATCGTGATTTCAAAAATATGATTGGTTCTCATGTTATTTCAGACGAAACGAATAAATTGCTGCAGAGGGTTAATACATTCATTGAATTATTTATTCCAGGGAAAACATAAATCTCGATATGTTTGTGTGATCCTGATATTTAAATAAAACTTTTTCAAATAGGTCAACCTCATGAGTCTGGAGGAAAAAAGTAAGCGCATCGAACAAGGGAATCACTTGAGAAATTGTTTGTTTGAAGCATCGGAAAATCCAGTGTGTAAGTGTATCGATGAATTTGTAAGAAAATCGTTTGGAGGTCGGCATAATATGAGTAAACTCTCCATTTTTGCACGATTAACAGTTGAAACCGAAGAAGAGATGAAACTTGGGAACAATGGTGTTCAAGAAAATTGTGAAAAACAAGAGAATTCTGGGATATTTTTGTACATCGATCTCCACAGTCACGCATCGAAAAAAGGTATTTTCATGTACGGCAATCATTTTGACGATCCAGAAGACTCTTCAGCTTGTATGCTACTGCCAAAATTAATGTCCATCAACAATCCGAACTTCCACTTTACGTCCTGCAATTTTGCCGAGAAGAACATGTACATCATGTAAATATTGTGTTTACTTACTTGTTGTTTCAAAACGCAATCAAAGTATGCGCGACCGGTTGATAAATCGGCAGGTTCATTAGGAGCAGGAGTTAATGAAAATTCTTTTTCAGCGATAAACGAGATGGTATGTCCCGCGAGGGTTCCGGTCGCGTGGCCGTATACAAGAGCTTTGGACTCATTCATAGTTATACTCTCGAATGTAACTACAACACCGGTCGCGTGGTTAACACCGTACCAGCCAGGGTCAAAGAGAGATTTCGCAAACTTCACTCTCAGCTGTACGTGCCACCAAAGTATAATCCTTCGGTTTTTGAAGAGGTGAGGTGGGGAGAGGGATCATCTCTTGTCGATTAAAGTTTTTTTTTGTCGTCATTCAATAATTTTCTCTGAAAAAATAGGTTGGAGCAGCGTTTGGACCGTCGATCCTCGATATGACCGGTCACAATCCCAATAGCAGACTGCCAAACAGCCAATACCGATCGTTGAAGGGACTCATCTCGTACTTGAAGCTTATATCGAGTAATCGCTATCAGTCGCCTAAAACTTGCTTGCAAAAGGTAAATCTTTCCGATACCGAAAACGATGTTGATATCGATATTCATGATGGCGCTGAAAATTCTGAAATTAGACAATGCAGTCTGTGCTGATTTCTGAATAAAAATAATACTGTGCCGAAGAATGTTATACCATAACCGATTCATTTTAAATGATTTTTTATAATTTTGACTATAAAACAAATGTTAGTTTCTTATGCTTCTTCCATGGTTTTTCTTCTCTTAAAAACAATTGTTTATTTATTGCTTTCATTTTTAGGTAGTGTGATAAACTTTTCCAATAAAATATTCTAATGATGGTTCAAATAACAATGAAAGTTTCTATGTTATTTGTAAAAAAAAAAAGCCACAATGACAAGGAAACTTGATCATCTTGATTAGTTTTCTAGATTGTGGCTATGTTATTTCCATTTTGACGTATAATAAATAAACGCTTCCATAAAATTATGGATGTATGTAATTTATATTAATGACGCAAGTGAAAAAATGAGAAAAAAATTAGTTTTAGATCGAAAGGCGGATACGTGAATTGTTATAAAAGTGGTTTAGACTGAGAAGGTTGTTAATTTTTAAAAAATGAATCTCAGTCTTTTAATTCTATTGATAAATGTATCCATAAGAAGATTTTATAAAATGTAAAACAACCATTATTTTTTAAATAAAATTGTGAACAATTACGAATTTAGACATTATTTTTACCTTGTTAAACAAGAAAACCATAGATGAGCTTAGTAAACTCCTGAAACACAGAATCACCAACATATTGTAGTTAAAAATAGTTATTAAAAAACTTTGTGAGTGTTCAATTATCTAGTTAATTGTTTTTTTTTTTATATATTATTTATTATGCTCGCAACAACATGATTAAGTAAACCGTTTTGGCCTAAACCCGCGATATTACCCGAGCACTCGTACCAAAAGCTCACACTTTACGCAGTAAGCGTGACCCTATAGGATTCACTTTGTACTCTCCGCAGGAGCCGTGGCGTACGTGCAAGCAAAAGCAAAGAAACAGTTGAGCCGCCTCCACATGTATGGGCGTAGGTAGTAGAGTACATAAAGATTATTGAAATTTTGCAGCACGAGGAGGAAAATCAGTCGAGCTGCGGGGCAGAGAGCTCGAGCGAGCTTGGCGAAGAGGCGGCAAAGTCGGAGAAGCGCAGCAAGAGAAAAGCCGCGAGTTACCTGAGGCACTTGGCCACCCGGTCGGCGCCCATGGTTCGAGACACCGCTGATCCGCGACCCATTGGCCATAGCGACTTCTCGGTCCAAGTGGACATGAGTCAACAAGTCGAGAACGACAAGGGAGCACCCATCGCCGATCGCCGGTGCAAGACTACCCGGGGACCGGTTGGCGATGCAGGTGCCGGCAAGAAGACCAAGGCCAGGCCGGTGCAGCGGAAAAACGCGGCTCAGCTCGTCGTAGCGAGAAAAAAAGCTCCGGTTCACTGCAGCGGTGGCTCGTCAACGGCGACGCCGGTCAAATCTACCAAGAAAAATGTGAAATCGACGCCCGCCAGCAGAGCTTCTCGAAAAGCCACCAGCGCCGCCGTGGCTACTTGTGCCTTTCCCACGTCATTTGAATTCACCGCCGACGATGATGCCAAAGATGTTTTAATCAGTACATCGCACTCCGAAGACCCTTCCGACGTATCTACTACAAAACCGCCCCAAGTGTGAAGGGCGCCGTGTGTACTCTACTTCCTCCCCGCGACATTTTATCGGCCCACACCATATACATGCTTTGTTAACGATTTTCCAGATTTTGTTAAGAAACATTAAAAACAGAAGAAAAAAAAAAAAAAAAAAAACAACGAACGAATTAATCGAGAAGAATAAAAAAAAATCGTAAAAAAACCCCTCTGGTCTTTTTTCATTTGTGCCGTGTGCACTATGTGGTGTTCACCGATACCGATACTCCATGAAAGTCCTTTTTCGTTTCTTTTTGCCCGCGCCAAACATAAATAATGTACAAGATATCGGGTGCACGTGCCGACCGATCACCGGCTGTGGGATTCAAAATCGGCAAGTAATCAGCGCTACACGCGAACCCGTGATTTATTTCGAAACGAAACGAGAGGAGAAACGACCAGTCGGCTGATATATTATATACACACGCACAACCAACGGCGGTAACGAACGAAGGTACACGGTAAAAAGGGCAGGTAAAAAAATCGAGTTGTGGAGGTGGTATACATACAATATATATGTGTATATATATATATATATTATATGTGTGTATAGGCAAGTATACAGTCGTCATCGCCAGGGGCGTGGGTGTGTGTTTGCGTGCGTGTATGGGTATACACTTGCTCGCCTTGCACATAAAACACCGCCAACCGCCAACGTATACATATACGTGTGTTAACTCGACGACCGTCGACGATCGAGGAAGAAGGAGAACGCGCAGGCGAGGCGCATCCAGGAAAACGCGAAAGTTGATCGACGGGCTGGTACATGTATTATAATACACCCTGCAGCAGTATACCGCAGCAGTTCGACTAGCAGTTCGACGTTGGAACGATCGTTAAAGGATATATATATATGATTCCGTGCTGCACGCCACATAATAATATATAGGATTCGCGATCCTGTTTCGCCAACGAAACCATCACGTACAAGATCGAGTCGTATCGTTTGTATAGCGTGTAACACAAGTGCAGGAAGATATGTTTCGGCGAAGGAAAGTGAACAGCAGCGGTAACGGTACCTCGTGTTTGTTTGTCCTCGGGATCCTCGGGGTTCTGATGGCCCTACTGGAAACAGGTGAGTGTTTTGCCAGCGTCGGCGCGACGCTTATGTTAAACGGTACCCGTGTATGGGCGGGGCAGCCGATTGCTCGATCCCTCGTATACATACATCCCGCCTCGCGCTCATGGGTTTGCTCTTATATACCTGTTTACTTTATCGTATACACAACAGGTGCATACAAACTACACTCGCATACCGTTTTTTTTACCTCAAATTTATTTTTATTCGTATTTCTTTTTTTTTTTTTTTTAATTCATATGCATCATCTGAAAATTCTCTGCAAGCGTTTGGTCCCCTTTTTTTATTCGCCGTACCTAACTACTTTACTCATTCGATTCAGTCATATATTATGACAATGGAGTGAACGCAACATATACTACCTACTACTACTACTCCCGCGGTAATACGTATACCTGTACACGTGAGAGTTTTTAGGTGTATATATTATATGCTACATCGCATATTTTATGGTGTGTACAAACAGAAAAAAAAAAAATGCTTTTCATATACCCATATTGTAAAGGTACTTTTATAAGTATAAAAACGACTTTTGATGTTTCGAAAATGTACCCGGTTCAGAACCTTCGTGACTGTATTATATGCCTCGATATTACTATACAGGCGTTCATTTCACTCCTTCCCTATTGTAATCATCATAATTGGACCAGAGCATTTTTCGACGCTTCTAATGGGTACCATAGGTACTTCTTCGTAGAAACTCGAATGGAATTTTTTTCAAGCTTCGTTGTATAGCCCAACAATTTTTTTTTTTTTTTTTTTTTTTGACCGAAAAATGTGTATCGTTATCATTGTTTTGAGAAATTAAAATATTTTTTGCGGTACAACTTAAACCAAAATTAAAAATACTATCGAAAATCCAGACGTACGAGTACTTGACATCTTGTTTTTAATCACACATTAATTGGCCAGGAAATGGAATTCCCTTCCCGCGCGTCGCCTTTACTGGACACTATATATAACTCGTGTAGGTGTATGTTGACGCCCTAAAGGAGGAAATAAAAAAATGTTATTACCAATAAATAGGTACATACGTTTTCCCGTGTTTTGATCAATTGTAATTTCATTCGTTTTTATTTTGTTAACAGTTTTGAAAATAGCGCATTTTCATTGTATACGTACAGGCGTCGGACACAAAGCGTCCTTGCATTTTAAAATTTATCTTACAATATTTTTAAATATAAGTTATAAATTTGGGGGGTTTCGGTATTCATACGTAACATCTCCAGAGAGACCAGAGTCGCGAGTCCTTGGCTCTTTTTTCAGATGCCGCAACACGAGAACTCCATTTTTACATAACGAAGTGATCGGTAGCACAATCCATCACTTGGCTGTTGACTAAAGAACAACCTTTTTAAAAAAATTTTGTCGTGAGCTTGAAAATCGTATTGGTGACTTTTGTGATGATTTCATTACAGAAATCTTATTTATTATGCTCGCAACAACATGATTAAGTAAACCGTTTTGGCCTAAACCCGCGATATTACCCGAGCACTCGTACCAAAAGCTCACACTTTACGCAGTAAGCGTGACCCTATAGGATTCACTTTGTACTCTCCGCAGGAGCCGTGGCGTACGTGCAAGCAAAAGCAAAGAAACAGTTGAGCCGCCTCCACATGTATGGGCGTAGGTAGTAGAGTACATAAAGATTATTGAAATTTTGCAGCACGAGGAGGAAAATCAGTCGAGCTGCGGGGCAGAGAGCTCGAGCGAGCTTGGCGAAGAGGCGGCAAAGTCGGAGAAGCGCAGCAAGAGAAAAGCCGCGAGTTACCTGAGGCACTTGGCCACCCGGTCGGCGCCCATGGTTCGAGACACCGCTGATCCGCGACCCATTGGCCATAGCGACTTCTCGGTCCAAGTGGACATGAGTCAACAAGTCGAGAACGACAAGGGAGCACCCATCGCCGATCGCCGGTGCAAGACTACCCGGGGACCGGTTGGCGATGCAGGTGCCGGCAAGAAGACCAAGGCCAGGCCGGTGCAGCGGAAAAACGCGGCTCAGCTCGTCGTAGCGAGAAAAAAAGCTCCGGTTCACTGCAGCGGTGGCTCGTCAACGGCGACGCCGGTCAAATCTACCAAGAAAAATGTGAAATCGACGCCCGCCAGCAGAGCTTCTCGAAAAGCCACCAGCGCCGCCGTGGCTACTTGTGCCTTTCCCACGTCATTTGAATTCACCGCCGACGATGATGCCAAAGATGTTTTAATCAGTACATCGCACTCCGAAGACCCTTCCGACGTATCTACTACAAAACCGCCCCAAGTGTGAAGGGCGCCGTGTGTACTCTACTTCCTCCCCGCGACATTTTATCGGCCCACACCATATACATGCTTTGTTAACGATTTTCCAGATTTTGTTAAGAAACATTAAAAACAGAAGAAAAAAAAAAAAAAAAAAAAAAAAAAAAAAAAAAAAAAAAAAAAAAAAAAAAAAAA